TGGGGGTACTCCCCAATGTTTTAGTAGCAGGCAGAGTCAGATATTATGCCACTTGTCTCAATTGTGCTGGGTCCACAAAATGCCTACAGCGGGTGCGCTCCCCTGCTCAGGGCCCCGCTCCTCCAGGGAGGGCTGTGGACCTGTGGGCTGCTCCCAGGCAGCCGTGAAGCTGGCGTTTTTTCTCTCCAGAAGGGAATTTTTGCCTCTTCCACCTCGATTAGGATTGTTGTTTGTTGCAGTAGTTCCTCTTATCCAGTTTTCAGTTCTCTCTCATGGGTAATTTTTCTATGATTGTAAATTGGCTGTGTCTGCAGGAAGAGGTGAGTTCAGAGTCTGCCTACACCACCATCGTGACATCTCCATTTGGTTCTTTTTTATGCAGTCCAATTCTATGTGAAACTTTTTATCTTGTTGTCTGTTTTCTCCGTCTTTTTCTTTATTTTTATCTGCACTTGACAAGAGTGTGTGTTCTCCAGTTGTTGAGTGTAGTGTTCTGTACATGTCAGTTATGCCAAGTTTGTTCAGAACTTGATGTGTCTATTGATTTTCTTGCCTACTTGTTGTGTGGGGATGAAGGACTCATGAGTTTTGGTAACATTTTGTTTCTTGATTTGGGAGCTGGTTATATAGATGTGTTCCTTTTGGGAAAATTCAAGGAGCTGTGCACTTATAATTTATGCACTTTCTGTATGTACATTATACTTCAATAAAACATTTAAAAATATTCAAAAGACCATTTTCTTTTCTGTCAGTCTTTTTAAAGAAAAAATATTATTTTGCCAGTGACAGTTCAGAAACAGAAATGACCAATAGTATCAAATATTTTGCTGCTGAGAATTGGTGAATACCTTCTAGCAATTAAAGGCTCATTACAACAATGGTACTAAACTCATTGTTTTAGCTTGACAAACGTCCAAGGGCACAATTATATGGATGTTAAAAGGACACAAATCTGAAAGACCTTTGACTTCTTTAGACACTAATTTGGGGGAAAAATACTTCTTTTAGGCATTTTTGTGAACTATATTTGTATCTGTCAAGCTTACAGTAGTTTCTCATTAGAACAATTTTCTGTCTATTTATGCTTACCTTTAATGCTAAGATACTCTTTTAATAATAGGAACGATTAGAGAAAGAGAAACCACAGAATGATGGAAAGCCCATGAGTGATAAAACCTTTGAAAAGAAACGTAAATAGTTTTCCTGTGTCTTCACCACTAAGTCACACAAGTGGTGTTGCATCCTGGCATTCTGAAAGACCATGCTGATTTTTTACTTTGATCTGGAAAATTTCTCTACATTCTTTCATTTGTTTTAAAAGTTGATTTCAAAAATTGGCTGCTTAATGTGGTACAGATTTAGGAATATGTGCAAAACGGTGGGGGTCCATGTGGAGGTTCAGGTCCTTCAAGGGGAAGCTTCAAGTTTGATAACAGCAATGGGATTGTGAAATTGATCACTGACTAATGATCTGTTTGATGACAGCAATAAGACTGTGAAATTGATCACTGAATAACTAAGACTGAAATATGTAAATATATAATCAGAATATTTGGGAAAGAGTGCTGCTAGGGAGGGATAGTGATTCTTATTCTCTGTGTTGTCTTGTACGTTTATGGAGATTAATAAGAACTCGGAGGACATTATAGCACTTAAAAGAGTTTGTTTTAGGTAGAGACACTAAGACACCAACAACTCTGCTCAAGAGCATCCCCATTTCTGTTCTGGGCCCTCTTCTGGCACCCCATCAACAAGTAAGGAACAACTTCTTTTTATGTCCCCTTTTTTCCTTTTATAAAAATTAATTATTGCGAAAGTCACTCTATTAGGTGAGATATATTCTTCTAAAGCCCTTTTGCCTCTTATAGTTCATTGTTTCGGGAGTTCTTAATGGTCAATAGGGATCAGAGATACTCAGTCAGCTCACACTAAGGAAAGGAAGCTAGACCATGTGTTTTACTGAAAATGCTGGGAGTTGGAGAGGGAATGGGGTTGGGGTAGCTAAGCATGAACTGAACAATTGCCTTTTCCTTCTGTTTACTACTCTAGGCAAAGAAATCAAGAAATCCAAATTGATTTGAAGCCAGTCTTTTAATAATCAAGATTTTCATGCAAAATATGGCAACTTAGACGAGTGTGCTAGGTATGATCTGTCAGCTATTAAGTTTTAACAATTTTTATTTTATAGTCAAGCATCTTTATGTGAAATATTTACATTATTATTTAAAATCAGAATTAAGTTTGAGTTTTTAATACATCAATAATTTGTAAGTTTTCTTCTGTGAAGATTATTATATTAAAAAAATAGTAGTTTACCCATTTCCATAAGAATAGGTATCCTGGCATTCTAGGAAGACTACTGCCATGACACTATATAATAACATCAAAGAATCTGAGTGTGGTTTTATGAGGAAGGTGGTGCTGTGTCACATATGCCACTTAACTTCTAGATGGGTGTGTACACGCCCCATTTGCTAAATGGATGTGGACATCCATTTGCTGTTAATATTGTTTGTGGCTATAAAGGAGCCACTGCCATGTTTCTATGGTAAAGCGATCACAACAGAATTCTCCTGAAAATAGGGCAATGTTTAGTTTCCCCTTGGGCCCCACAGGCAGAATTATAAACAGTTAAGATTAGGAGAGAGTCAGCATAACGTAAACGACCATGATTTTTTATATATGTTGCACACATATAGTGTATAACAACTGCATACCGATTGACAAGCAAAGTAATTTTAAGGAAACATAAATATCTTTAAAATTATTTATCGAGCCAGTGCCGATGGTTCGGTTCCCAGACAAGGAACCACACCACTCGTCTGTCAGTAGCCATGCTATGGCGGTGGCTCACACAGAAGAACCAGTAGAACTTACAACTATACACAACTATGTAGTGGGGCTGTGGGGGAGGAAAGGAAGAAAAAAAGAGGAAGCTTGGGATCAGATGTTAGCTTAGGGCATATGTTCTGCAAAAAAAAAGTATCAAGAAAAATAACATGTCATGGAAAAAAACATGTTTTTCTTTCATTAAAGATAGACTATTCTCGATTTTCAGCTATATTTTTGGACATTATCTATAGATCTATTTAGAATTCCTAGCCAATAGGGTGATCTCAAGATGGACAAAAGAGATTAGAACTAAAGATAAGTTATTTTCAGGAAAACTTTGTCCATATTACCTGTCTTGGCTGAGCATCGAAAGAAAAATTGTTATTCTGATGTAGAAAAAGTTTAAGGAAATACTTTTTTTAAAAGAATACAGAGTAATTGTTGTGAGGCATGGAATGTGAAAAATAAATGAGAAATAAAAGTCACAAGCATGTTTCATAAGAGGTAGAGGAAAGCATTAAAAAAAGATTGGAAAAGACCAAGTGCTGGTTGACTGGGATTGAGAGAAGCATGTTCTCGTATTTTAAACTCAATCATGTTCTTTTCTAGTAAAAGTTCTGCAGCAGTATATACACCTTCCTTCTCAGCAAAGACTTCTGTGATATCACTAACTGGTAAGTAAAAATCTGAGCTCTTCAAAAATTTGCTCAATTTCATAAAATATGATTTTCTTTAAATGACCTATTTCTTTATTTCTAGATACAAGGTTTTTCCTAAATTTATATCTTTATCAAATACCTAAAAAATTAAATTTTTTCCTAACAATTGAGAAAATACTTGACTATACTATTTTGTCTTCACTGTGTCAAGACGCAGAGTTCAATTCTTGTAGAAGAGGAAAAGGACGGTGACAGGATAGGATTTACCGTGTCTGCGGACCTGCTGAGGCACAGACTAAGTGTTTGTGCAGTAATTTTTAAGGAAGTTAAAAACAGTAGGGATCACCGTGGATCATATGCAGCTAAAATTTACAATATTAGAGATTTGAAAGTTTATACCAGGGACTGACAAACTTTTTCTGAAAGGGCCAGATAGTAAATATTTTCGGCTTTGTTGGGCAAAGTGGTTTCTGTCACAATTGCTCAACTCTGCTGTTAAGTGAAAGCAGCCATACACAATATATAATGAGTAGGTGTGGTTGTGTTCCAATAAAACTTTATTTACAAAAACAGGCAGCAGGCAAGATTTGGCCCACAGCCTGTAGTTTGCTGACCTCTGTGCTATGTAATACAACACAGAATTATACTATGAATAAGGGAAAATATACTACTAAAAATTTCTAGTGGCTGTAAGTATAAGTTTTAACTTTTTGCCTTGGAAATATTCATTGAAAATTGTAATATTGACCTATGGCAATTTTTTAGTGTAAATAATAGCAAATATACTCAAAGGTCTGAATTTTTTTTTTCAGGCTGTTATAACTTCAAGCTCTTTTTTTTTTTTATTGAGGTCATAATAGTTTATAACATGGTGAAATTTCAGTTGTACACTATTATTTGTCAGTCACCATATAAATGTGCCCCTTCACCCTTTGTGCCCACCCCCAACCGCCTTCCCCCTGGTAACAGCAAAACTATTCCCTCGGTCCGTGTATTAGTTTATCTTCCAATACAAGTGAAATCATGTGGTGTTTGTCTTTCTCTGCCTGGCTTATTTCGCTTAATATAATACCCTCAAGGCCCATCCATGTTGTTGCAAATGGGACGATTTTGTCTTTTCTTATGGCTGAGAAGTATTCCATTGTATATTTATACCGCATCTTCTTTATCCAGTCATCAGTCGACAGACACTTGGGTTGCTTTCACTTCTTTGCTATAGTGAATAATGCTGCAATGAACGTAGGGGTGCAAAATCTCTTTGGATTGTTGATTTTAAGTTCTTTAGATAAATACCCAGTAGTGGGATAGCTGGGTCATATGGTATTTCTATTTTTAATTTTTTGAGAACTCTCCATACTGTTTTCCATTTAGTTACATTTCCTTTTTAGATTACCTTTTGAGTATTCTTTCTTCCTCTTACTTCTTATTGTGTTCTTACTATTCTCACGAAGAAAATATATGCACTCATTGGCTCCTCTGTAAACAGTGGGTTTTCATTTGCCAGAACAGAACATCTTTCTAATATTAAAGCATTGACATTCATATACAGTATACAGAGCAGTTCTCCAAGGTAGACTGACTATCAGAAGAAACCTGAAAGAATTTGATAACAGTTGAACTGAAGTTATCAACATTTCTTGAAGTGAGGGCCATAGATAATAAAACCAAATGTTGAATTCTTTAGGGAACATTTCAGGGTTTGAGAATTTTATTTACAATATAGAGTGCCTTTAAAAATTGTAAATGTGTATGGAAAGTCAGTTTGAATTAGTTCAATTTGGAGCTAATGGTACAAATGATTATAGATGTCCGTGAGGGGTTCTTCAAACTTGGATGGGTCCCATTGGCCTCTTGGAGATGACTTCACCCAGCTATAAATGAAGATATTTATTCATGAACTTGTAACGCTTCTTGCCAAGAAATTTCTTTGCCTAAATCATTAAGAATATTGATTCAGAACTGGTTTTTAAAAGTTTTAATTATGTGCATTAATTTCTTTAGTTTTTACTTTGCCACCTCCTGTCACCTTGAGAATCAAGAGAGTGTTGATGACGTACAGATCCTAAAATTTAACATCCAAAGTCTTAAATAAAAGTGTGTATTTTATAAGGGTAAATCTTTTACTAAAATATTTGGAAAATACTCTATCCCCGTCTCTATTTGGGGGACAGAGAATATAGGTCGAATGAATTATCTCCTAGGTTATTATTATTTATTACTCAATGAAGTACAGAGTGAGGAAAATGTCACTATACAATTACACATCTGATCTATGAAGAGAAAATGGGAGCAAAATGTCTCCTAACAATGGATTCGGTATTCGCATGGAGAAGAGATTTTATTTACTTGTGGGACTTAAGACGGGCGTCAAGACAATTGTGTCATTGAGGTGAACCTTCAGTGTGCTAGGATTTTGAGAGGCAGGGACGAGTGTGGAATAGCACCCCATGCAGAGTATCTGTCATCAACAGGAGTGGGTGGCGGTGTCTTCAGGGAGCACCTGCAGGCCGGTTTGGCTGGAGCGTGCAGTGAGTGTAGGAGAGTGGTGCTAAGTGAAACGGAAAGGAAAGATCAGTCATAGCTTGGAAGGTTGAACTGAGTACTTTTCCCTTAACGTGAGCCCATCATTTCTGTTTGGTGACCTAGGCCTGTCGTCAGCTACAGCATTCCATCCAAGGCTATGTGGGCTCAGCAGACTGGAGGAAATAGAAAGAGAGTGCTAGGAAGGATTCAGGGAAACGAACTGCGGCGTATCCATTGTTCGTGGGTGTGAAAATCCATGGAACTTTTTAGAAAGCAGTTGGGGAAAGTTTATCAGGAATCTTTTTAAAAATACTCTTTGACTCAAAAAATCTCATTTCTAGTGATCTATCAGGAAGCAATAAAATAAAATACATAAAATGTGATAAAAATATGTCATAATGTGTACCCTTGATATGATGCGATGAAAATAGCACTTTACCTCTGTCATCCTCCCTCAAACACATAACCCTAGTCTAATTGTGGAAAAGCATCTGATAAATTCTAATAGAGGGGCATCCTACAAAGTATTTGACCAGTACCCCTCAAAACTTTTTAGGTCATCAGAAACAAGGAAAGGCTAAGGAATTGTCACAGACAGGGAGAGCATAAGGAGACCTGACAGGTAAATGTAATGTGGTATGCTAGATGGGATCCTGAGACAGAGACAGACATTTAGATAAAAACTAGGGAAATCTGAACACTATGGATTTTAGTTAATAATAAGGTATCACTCTTGGCTCTTTGATTGTAACAAGTGTGGCGCACTAATGTAGGTGTTAATAGTAGGGGAAACTGGGTGAGGGGGTAGATGGAGATTCTTTGTACTATTTTCTCAATTTTTCTATAAACCTGAAGTGTTTAAAAAATAAAATCTATTTTAACAAATAACATTTACAATAACTTTAAAAACATTAAGTGCTCATGGATAAATTTAACAAAATGTGTGCTATGTGTACACTAAAAAATTCAAAACATTGCTGAATGAAATTAAAGAAGACCCTATATAAATTGAGAAATGTACCACGTTTATGGATAGGAAAACTTAATATTGTTGTGATGTCAATTCTTTTTAAATAGAGCCAGAGATTTAATGCAATCCTGGTCAAAATTCGAGCAGTCATTTTGTAAAAATTTACAAGCTGTTTCTAAAATTTATTTTGAAATTTACAGAACTGAGTATAGCCAAAATCGTTTTGAAAAAGAAAAACAAATTTAGAGGACTTAAACTACCTGATCTCAGCACTTCCTAGCAGACTCCAATAATTAAGACCATGTGGCTTACACTGACACATATATTCAGTTGAGTTTCGACAAATGCTCCAAGATGAATCAATGGGGACGGGATAGCGTTTTTAAAAAATGGTGCTGGAACAATTGGATATCCATATTAAAACAACCTGAAAAACTGAACCCCAATTCTTATCTCATACTATACACAAAATTAACTCAAAATGTATTATAAACTTAAGCATAAAAGCTAAAACTATGACATTTCTGAGGAAAATATAGAAGGAAGTAAGTCTTTGATTTTGGAATAGACAAAGATTTCTCCAAACCATAAAAGAAAAAGTTAACATATTACACTTTATCAAAATTTAAAACTTGTGCACTTTGATATAGAGGATTAAAAAATAAAAGGCAGAACAGAGATTGGGAGAAAATATTGATATTACACATACGTGACAAGAACTCACATTCAGTGTACACACAGAAATCTTTAAGCTAATTTTGTTGTTAGTGCTGTCGAGTGGATTCCAACTCCTAGCCACTCTGTGGACAGCAGAGCGGAACCCTGCCCGGTCTTTTAGCGCCATCCTCTCACCTTCGGGCGCTGTATCAGACAGCGCTCCCGGCTATTCACAGGATTTTCATGGCCAATTTTTTCAGAAGTGGGTGGCCAGGTCCTTCTTCCTGGTCTGTCTTAGTCTGGAAGCTCCACTGAAACCTGTCCCCCATGGGGGACCCTGCTGGTATTTGAAATACTGGTGGCATAGCTTTCAGCATCACAGCAGCATGCAGCTGCCACAGTGTGACAACCGACAGACGGGTGGTGTGGTTCTTGACCGGGAAACGAACCCGGGCCATAGCGGCGACAGCCCCAAATGTTAACCACTAGACCACCAGGGCTGGTTGTCTATATGCTGATGACTCCTAAATTTCTGTCTACAGTGTGGACTTCACCTCCAGATCCAGCTGCCTTCCTGACATCTCCCCCTGGATATCCAAGATGTATTTTTTTTTCTGGTTTTTTTTTTTTTTTTTTTTTTTTAGAAGATCCGCCCTGAACTATCATTTGCCAATCCTCTTTTTTTTGCTGAGGAAGACTGGCCCTGGGCTAACATCTGTGCCCATCTTCCTCTACTTTATATGGGACGCTGCCACAGCATGGCTTGCCAAGAGGTGCATTGGTGTGCGCCCGGGATCCAAACCGGCGAACCTCGGGCCACTGCAGCGGAACTCACGCACTTAACCGCTTGTGCCACCAGCAGGCCCCCTAATAGGTATTTCTGAGCCAAATGTTTCAGTCTGAACTTTTGAACTTGCCCCCAGACCTGTTCCTCCCACAGTCTCCCCATTTTGGTAAATGGCAAGTTGTTAAGGCCAAAAGCTTTGCGATCATCTTTGCCTCCCCTCTTTCTCTCTCCCCCACTTCCAGTCCACTAGCAAAGCCTGCCCCCTCTAGCTTCCTAATAGATCCAGGGCAACTGCTCCTCATCACCTCCACTCCACCACACTGCCCGAGCGGCAGCACCCTGGTCTGGATGGTCACAGTGACCACCTGACTGGTCTCCTTGCTTCCTCCCTCGTCCCCCTAGCATCTTTTCCAAGCTCAGGGGCTTGTGCGGCCCTTTAAAACGCAGGTCAGACTGTGTGCTCCTCTGCCTGGCTCCTGTGCCTTCTCATCTCCCTCAGGAAAAGCCCATCTTTTCCAGGGCCTGAGACATATGGTCCTAGATGCCGGGGCTGCTGGTTCCTCCGTGACCTCATCTCCAACCGCTGAAGCCTCACCGGCCTCCTTGCTGTTCCTCCAGCTCAGCAAGAACACTCCCATCCCAGAACCTTCACACTTGTGCCTGTAACTCTCCTCTCCCCCCAAGACAGCCACACAGTCATCCTCCTTCTTCTGGTGTTTGCTTACCGCTGCCTTCTCAGTGAGGCCTTCCCTGGCATCCACCCGTGCCCTGCTGGCACTGTCTGTCCCTTCCCTGCCCTGTGACTTGTTTGTCTCCCTTCTCGAGAATGTAAGCCCCGTGATATAAGCTTACACGATATAAGCACTGTGTATTATCACAGTGCCTGGCACATGGGAGAACATTATTAAATGCTGGCTGAGTGAAAGAAGAAGCCAGGCGCTGTGATAGACGCTGGGAAAGAGTGGGAAACAGGACAGATGCAGCCCCCACCCTCAGGGAGCCCACAGCTCATGAGGGAGATGGGCATTAGAACCACGCAATTAGTCGGGCATTAGAACCACGCAATTAGACGGGCATAAGTGCTCATTAGGACGGGAAGGCTGAGCTTGGGTCGGGCAAGGGGAAGAGCCGTACCTGGTTTTCATGTTTCTGAGCCACGTGTCCACCAGGTCTGCAGTCAGATAGTCTTCCAGGGCGAGGTGGTCACCTATTTTCTCCATGAGGACCACCAGCATGGTGGCGTTTCCACGGTAGGGCAGTTTGAGGACGTGGCAGTGAAAATTCTTATCAAAGATGGAGGCAAACATGCCCACCTTGTACATCATGGGCACCTTCACCGCCTTGTACTTGTCCGGGTGGAAAGTGTCAGTCTCAGTAAGGAGAGGGTCAAAAGGGGTCAGCCACGTCCCTGAATGGGTGAGAAAAGAACTCGTTGTGGAAACCGCCCTCCTCGAAAGCATCGTTCCTGCTAAAATAATCGAGCGCCAGGGTTCCATCCCCCTTCCTGCCCCACTAGGAAAGGCATTCCCCTATCGCGTTGGTTTTGACCACGCGTCGGGCAAGCAAAATTAATCCCCCAAAGATCAGCCTTTGCCAGGCCTCTTTCCCAGCTGGTAAAACCCCATCCACCTGCAGGCCCTGTTGGAATCACACACAAAAGCAAAGAGGAGTCTCCTAAGGATCCCTGGCTCCCTCCTTGTTCTGGACCCGAACAGATGCGCTGATTCCAGCCCATGCTCTAAGGACCCAGGGCCTTCTGCACTCGCTCCCTGGTGGTTAGCTCCAGCCAAGAGAAGACTTTGGGCCTCTCCCTCCCCTGCTTGACCGCCACTCTGTCTAGGGCTCCCCCATGTGCAAACAGTCCACTGTGGCAGAAGTAAGGACGGTCTCGCTGTGTAGGGTGGTTCTGAGGGAAGGGATGTGTCCCTTGCTGACAAATACCACATGATCCACAGGAGGCCACCAGCGTGTGGGCGCAGGACTCTACACAGACGTCTGCCCTGGGTGTGTGGCCTGACTGACTGGAAGCACGTCCTCCTCCTAGACTTTGCAAGTGGCCTAGTGTCACCTTTCTGTTACAGTGGTGGCCACACAAGTCCAGTGCTCCATTAGCCAGGCAGATGGAAAGAACCGGGGATGAGGGTGTCAGGAGCTCCTCCTTTGAGTCTGGCCTCTGCCCTTTATCATGTGACCTTGATCAACCTAACCTTTCTAAGCCTCACTTTCATATGTACAGTAGGAGGGAGTATCCCCATTTTCTATATTAAGAATCTGAAGACAAGACACTGTCACTTGCCCCAGGTCACAAAAGTAGAGAGTGAAGGAGCAAAAATGTACCCCTAAATCTCCCAGAAGGTAGGCCTTTTTTTTTTTTTTAATGACCCAGAAGATTTGCTGTGTCAGAATGTCAGAGGGGAGCTGGGTGGAGGTGCTTGGAATACTGTAATGTCTACCAGCACATGGGGTCACCAGTGCTGAATGAAAACTTCGTCTAGCGCTGTGCCTGGAACATCCTACATGTTTCAGTCTGTTTGTGGAACCTGAAAACATGCTCACAGAAAAACATCTGGCATTAAGCATACACGGGCCAAACAGAGGAATGGAAGAGACAGACGCAGAGGCCGTGACTTTGGGAAAGCAGAACGTTATCGAGGTACCTTTGAGCGAGATGTAATCCACAAGAATTAATTTGGTGTCAGGATGAATCTCATTGAAGATTTTGGGGATCTTCCCCTGAGTCTCCTTGTTAATGTAATGATTCATGAGCCCTGTGGCCTGTGAGGCATTGTGGAAATTCATAGTCACACACTCTGTACCGAAATACCTCTTGGAAAAATTGAGGAAGGTCTCTTTGACATCAAAATCCTTGTGGATGAAGGCAAAGCTCCCCTGGGCGAGGCCGAGCTCCTGGTTGCGGGAGAGGCTCTCTCTGAGCTGCTTCAAGAGGGCAGGCACGCCCAGGGGCTGGTCTGGTTGGGGACCTGCAGGTGGAGCCCACTCTCCAGCTGGGCTTTGGTCTGCCCTCTGGCCGCCAGCATCAAGGCTGCCACAGTCAAGGACAGGCCAAGCGGGGAGAAGACCACGTTGCTGTCATGCCTCATGGAGATCTTGTGCAGCAGGCTGAACCCGAAGTTGGAGGTGGTCTCAGAGAGCTGCTGCCTGCTGGCCATCAGCCAGGGCTCCTCCTTCTCCTCCTCCTCCTCCTCCTCCTCCTTCCCCACCTCCACCACCAGCACATCCTCCTCCTCCTCCTCCTCCTCTGGAGTCCGCATGCCCTCGCTGGTCTGGTTCTGGGCAGTGGGGTCTGCGGAGTCTCCAGCCCTGTCTGGGCCTGTGGCGACGTGGGCCAAGTGGCCGAGCCGGGCACCAGCCACAGCGGGGCCAGGAGGCAGGGGAGCAGGAGGCTCAGCACGGCCTTCATGTGGGCAGCCGCCGAGGCCACGGGGCGCTTCCCTTCAGCGGCGAGACTCCTCGGGAGGAAAGAGGGCAGAGGTGGTGTTTAGTGCCTGACGCGATGCCTCTCCGCTGTGTCCTGGTACAATTCCGCCAGTGACCCCGCTTCCTCCCTGGGGGGCCGGGGCCTGTCTCCGGGCTCATGCAGCCGAGCCCTGCCTCAGGGAGACCCGGAGCGAGGAGGGGAGGCCTTTGTTCCCCAAGGAGGAGGCGCATTAATTCACAGAGCCACACCTCCCCCGGTTCCCAACCCCGCCAGACCCTCGGGCGGCTCCTGGTCTCCCCAACTTCTCCACTCATTCCACTGACTCCCAGAAGGGGAGGGGATTAAAGAGCGTGCGTCCTGGGCCTGCCCTGACTGGGGGCGGGTCAGAGCAGGGCTGGAGTCCGGAGGTCCTCACAGACCTTTCGTTGATCTGCTTCATTCATCGCTCTTGTTCATCGGGCCGTACAGTAGCCCGTCCACGCCGGGCTGTGGGGCCTGGGTCTGGACGCGTGTTTGGCTGGGGATTTGGGGGGTCTGGGTGGCCATCAGAGCAAGGAAAAGGGACAGTGCTGAGATGGCCTGCTGTGCTGATGGAAGTCTTCCCTGCCCCTCTCCTGCAGCACCCATCCCGCCCCGGGGCCCGTTGCAGGCCCCTTCCTTCACTAGACCTGGAGCTGCCCCCATAGAGGCAGACGACCAGCCAGTTCATCCTGCCCGACGCCTGGGCTCGGCTCCACCTGGACGGTCTCATCTACTCCTCACAGCCACCTGTGAAGTGTGTCCTCGCTCCCGCCGCCCCAGTTCCCACATCCCAGTGGAGCCAGCCTTCCAGCACCTGCAGTGGGTCTCCAAACCCCATGCTCCTCACCACTAGCTGCGCCCGCCCCACCACTTCTTCCGGCTCCCTCGCATCCCCGGCACAGCCTGCTCCTCAGCACCTGCACGTTTTCCCTCTGAATGAAGACCTGTGGGCTGGGCTGTGCCCGGGGCTGTCTGCACACTCAGTTTCTGGTGTTCAGCGGCCAGCTCCTGACCTGTGTCCCAGAAGCGGCTGGGCAGGTCACCAACACGCACCCTCACTCTCTCCTGGGACCACCCGGTACAGTGGGGAGGGGAGAGGGTGCAGTTCCCATGGGCATAGACCCTCATTCTGAACCAGGCCACCTGGAGCAAAACGTGACAGGGTGAAGTTCCAGGCCTCTGCTCCCTGATGCCGGGGGCTGGGTCCTCGTCTGTGCCTCGTATGAAACGACCCCAGTCCTGGGACTCAGTGCATTGCTCCTTGATTATGTTAAACAGCACCTTAGAATTCAGGGCCTCACTCCCCCACAGCCCGAGCAGCACTACCTTCCTCAGTTTCCTAAACGTCAGTGTTCAGGGATCCTGTCCGATTCGGAATGGCAAGCCCAGGTGCACTCGGTCACTCAGTGCTGTAAATGCTGGGTGAGCTCGTCCTGCAGTGTACCAACGAGCCCAGGTTCATGCCTTCACTACCTTACAGTATTTAGCACTACTTTGTAAATTAATAATTTAATCCTACACAGGCTACTCCCGAATTCAGAGTCGCTTCTCTCTGTGAGAGT